CACTTATGCCCTGTTTACACCGAGCTATGACCCTTTCAGTGCCACTATGATCAAGAAGTTTTGGTATAGCCTAGGGTACATTTGCCATGTGATGTCTGTATGTGCATGTACACTACCCATATATCCATGTCGTGTTCATGTGGAGGAAGGCAGTAGCCGTATGGAATCCTATGAACTCCTATGGATTCATGGCCTCCAAGCCCCTAAGATTTTTTCAAAATGAAACTTATGAATTTTTTTTTTCTATAGTAAACTCAGGGGCATAGCCAGCAATTGCAAAAGCGGGTTCTTTTTTTCCAAAAAGAGAATCTTTTACTATGAAATCAATGTGTACTTAGTTAAATTTTACCCAGAGGGAACCTTTTCCCGGCAAAAGGGCAGTTCGTTCGAACCTCCTGTACCCCCCCTGGCTACGGGTCTGAAACTGTAGGCCATGGCAATAGTGGCAATAGTGTAGATCAACTGCATTATAATTTGCTTTTGTTTTGTTGCATACAGTTGGCCCAATTAGTTGTAAGGGACTTATTCCTTGGCTGGCATTTTAAACAAAAGGATGAACAAACCAAAGCGTATTAAAATATAGGCGAATGTATAAGCGAAATACATGACTAGTTGCAACTATCTTCTGTCTGTGGGATAATTTCAATAATCTGTCTACTTGGTATGTTTCCCAGCAGCTGTTATTATTTTAATCTTTTATTCCATCCATTTGCCAAAACCAGAAACATGCAAAGAGATATCCCGCAGGGTTTGGGATAGCATGTTTCTTCTTTGTCAGTGTCTAATTTTAATTTAGTTGAGTTAAATGGCATATCTTTATTTATTTAATTTTAGTCAGTTTATGATTTCTACAACTTTAAAAACGTGTTTGCCCAACAACCTGGACAGCTGAATAGTGGAGAGAATAGTAGGAAGTCGTGAATGTTGTTCGAGTCAGGGTCATAGTGTTCAAGGCGACAGAAATTGATCTCCACCACCTGTGTTGACCTCCCTGGAGAGAGGACGGTGGGAAAGTTATTAGATTATTACTTTGCAGTGAAAAGAGATGCAGGTTTTTTTTTATAAGGTGATTTTTTTTCATCGACTAAAACATACCAACACGATTAATCAAGCAATCACTTCCTATTTGCAAATTGTCTTTTGGTATTTAATTACAGAGACATGGTCCTGCTGTGCACTGGACATGGGACAGTTTTTTTTATTTTTTAAATCAATTTTTCTGGGAGAAATATTATAGAGAGGGTACATAACTTTAAGATACACCCAGTGGTGAGGTTAATGGTGTATTTCCCTATTAAAATTAAATGTTATCATAGGGGAGTAGTTCACACAGACCATCATTTTGAGCAATTTTGAACTGGTTTCTTCTGTTGGATATTATATAGAGTCTATGTTTTTTCACTAGTGAGACTTATTATTATATATGGGCTTATTAATCACTTGGCAAGGGTGAAAATAATCAGTTACCCAAGTGGGTAAAATTTTCAGATATGATGATCTTTTATGGACATGATTTTTAAAATATCAGAAATAATTTCCACACATGCCATGAATATGACTAACTATTATTAAAGGTAGGAAGAAATATATCGATAATATATTGTTTTGAGTTTAGAATATGTTGTCATGCAATTAGATTTTGGTCAATTGATAGTCTTCAATTTATGGAGTACTTACACACGCACACACACATGCGCGCGCACGCGCACGCGTGCGCGCACACACAAAATTTGATTTAACTATTTGTAATGTGTAGTGACTTTTCCAGGTGCATACCTGTAGGGTAGAGAGTTGGCAAATGTTTTAGAATATACTCTTTAGCCTAATTAAAGGCATAGTTAGTTAATTTTATGGCATCCAATTTATAATTCAGGGTTTATCTTGCCAAAGCAAAGTTAGCCATTGAATCAAGTTAACTCATCTTTATTCACTCTAGTACAAACATTGCTGGTTTAGAACAGCAGCATAACATATCTGGTTTAGGACATGTTTTAAAGGAAGCCCATGTAAATTGCCTCTTCAGTGGCATTTCAGGACTAGGCCACGACAGCAAGATTGGTTCATTGTTGTTACATGCCTGGCTGGAATCATATTCATTGAAATTGATTGATTTTGAGCCTACTGTGAAGAAATGGAGATTTTTATTTTTTCTGACTCGGTTTCTTGCCTTTGATGTCAAGTTGTCTTTATTTCGCAGGTGTTTGCACATTTAGAAACATGGGAGGAAATGTCTGATCTCAGTCAACATGGGCATATTGAATGTGTTCTTTATAGAAATCTTGGTCCATCATTCTCTGTCTCCTGCCACTGTCGCACTACAGTCAACACTGCCCTGCTTTAATGGATGTGTACAGACGTGAACAGCTTCCATAGTTGAGTGAATTCATTGTTGCCACTCTGAGAGAGATTTTGATCCACATTAGTGGTATTTAGATTTCTTAATTAGGTCCTCTGTCATTTGCCTTTAGTGTTTATGTTTAAATATTTCATCTACCAGCACATGACAAAGTATCGTTTGGCAGGATGGCATTATTCAAGGAAAGCAAATGATGGGGCTTGTACTTCTGATTAGTGTGTGCTTAAGTTTAATTTTTAGATAAATACACAAGGGTTAATCAAGGGTTGATCAGAGGATCATACCTTAATTTTTTTTCATTTCTTCTTGGTTGTCTTTTGTTATCTTCAGAAGCTAAAAGGTCATTGGATGCTTTGAATTTTATGAAATAACACAAATAACAAGCCTTGATCTTTATCAGACACAAACCACTAGAAGGTTAAATATACTGTTATGACTTGAGATTACAGGGAATTGGATATCTCATTCATAGGCATTTCAAAACAATGTAAAATACATATCTGTAGGAGTATTAATTTTTTTTTAAAACTGAGAAATAAAGTAATAAGGAGTCCAATAACACAAATTGTAAATAGATATGATGAAATAAGATTGTTACTCTTTCTTTGTGAAAAGGTAAACACGATAAACTATTTTAAACTGTTTTATGAATTGGGCTTATCTTACTTGCTAAAATTTTTAACTTGTTTTAGGCATAGACAAGAAAGTAACAGCATTTTGATATACATATAGGATATGTGTGAATATTTTATTCAGAATAAAAGTCAATTCAAAATTATTTTTATTTTAGCATAAGGCAGAATGGATTAACCTTACTCGTGCCATTCTTCAAGCATGTTTTCCTATCCCCTACGGTCAGTGAGAGGAGCGGTCAGTGGAAGTCCAGACTGTTGACCACTATGTTACACGTGTGTGGACAGCTGGCAGAAGAAGATGCAATACATCTGTACCTGTTTCTCAGGGATATTGTGCCATGTCTTCTGGTGAGGGTAATGTTTACGTAACTTCTGACTTCAGACATTTATTGCCATTTTTGATTAACGGATGCGTTTTGTAAGTGGAATCAGCTTAACTTTCCTGTGCACTTGGCTAAATTACCCCCTAGCTGCTCCAGGAAGGATTTCAGAAAATTGAGCTGATTCCACTGATTTCACTTTCCTAAAATCCCCTGAGGTCCCCCCCCCACCACACTCCCCTGTTGACAAAAAATTCCTGTCATGATTGTTGCTCATTGTAAATGATAGTTGATACAGAATCATTTTATTTTACTAAAATTCAATTCAATACCACAAAATCTTTTGTTCATACTCATAACTAACATTTTGTCAGATTTTGTATTACTTTTATGTGTGCCAGCCATCGTTATCTGTGTAGGTAAATAATTAGTTTGCTTAAAAGTAGTAATTGGAACAATTTGCGGTAACTTAAGCTTTCTTAGATGAGAAATGGCAGATATCAGGTGACCATCTTAATTGGGATTGATTTTTATGCAGTAATTATCTGCTTAACAGTGACACTTTATATGTGTAAATGTCCTCATTTGATCAGTTGATTGGGATAATTAGATGGTTCAGAAAGGCATTTTCTTACCTAACACCATATTTTGTGTTTCTTCATTAAGGATCATATTGATAACAACACTACTGCTTGGTATCATTTAAAGCTTGTTATATTTTTTCAAAAATATCTCTAGAATGTACTTGATGTTGATATTTTAGCATACCAGCTAAGACTTGTTTTTTTTTATAAAATAGCATTACTTTTTCTCAGGCAGTCTTTTGTGGATGATAGTACTTACAAAAGTTCAAAATTGAAATGTACAAACACCACCCATTGGCTCTGCCAGTAATAATCCCCTTTCTTTCCACCATTTCCATAAAGAAAATTGCTCATTATTTAAACGGATACAATAATAGATAACCGGGGACCTATATTTTTCAAATGCTAAATGTTAGCCTTTTTGTTGAAGAAGATATATTTAAGATACCATTTTAAGATTTAGGGTCTCAGAGCACATTCAGAACAGTGGATCAAGAGATCCAAGGATCAAGTATGATGACCCACTAAAAAGCTTGCTGCTTCATTCCCAATTAGACACTGAATAGCTTCCTGGCAGGGATTACGCAACAAGCATACAAGTGAGTTGGCCATATTTGATCCACAGTTCTGTTGGTCCACTGTTCTGAATGTACCCTTAGAAGCTGGCCAGTATGATTGGAATCTTGAATATTGACCATTTATTTCCCAGATATACCCTCTCTCCCAACAAGAAGAAACACTGGAATATCTGACCACCTTGGCATGGCACATAGATACAAATGCTCCGTCCACTGTTGTCCAGAGTGTCCTGCCAGTGGTCACCTCCCACCTGGTCACTTTGTGTGGCCATCTCATAACATCTGGACTGGACGTCTCGGCATGTCTTCGGCTACTGATAAGAGTTGTTCAGAGACACCCTGAGGTAGAATGCCACAGCTCACATTAGATGGTTTTTTTATTTTTATTTATTTATTATTTTTATTATTATTTATTTATTTTTTGCTTAGGGTTGATTTTGGTAACTCAACACAGTTGTTTATTGGATTTTGCTTTTATTAAAATAATATCAAAGAAGCAATGGTTTAATATCATAAACTATATTCTGTTTACCATAAAAATAGTCTAGTTATTGTCCTTTATCCAGTGTCATAACCAATTTTTCTTTCAGGTGTTCCATAACACTGGAGTGGTGCTTGCTTTGTTCTCTCTTATTGGAAGTACTCCTCAACTGTATATTGCTGAGGTGCTAAAATTAGGTATGTATGGACAAAATTTGGTAGGCATTAAGAAAAAAATTAATAATGAAATTTAAACATACTTCAGTTGGAATGAAGTGTAAAAAAGTATTTGTATCATCAGAAGTATCCCTTGCTAACACAATTAGTTAAATCAAAATGCCACTATTGGATTTATATCTTCGACCCAGGCACTCAGTATATCACCCTCATGTCAAGGGCCATGCAGGTTTCAGTGGGGTTGCTTTCAATCCTCC